AAAAAAAAGAAGAAGAAAAATACCTGTCACTCCATTGATTTCATAATTAATTCCTTCTCGTTTTATCAGAATACCATACAATTGGCATTTGGCGTACAAGCCAATGCTATTACGAAGTTCGTTTAATATGTTACCAAGAGATTCATTTAACATATACTGGAAACATAAAATATCGATTACCAATTGCTTTCAATCGATTAGAAATTTAAGTTTTTTTAACATGATTTCATACAGAATAATCCTTAAAGCTTTCAGAATAAGCTATGGCCTTTGGAACATCCGTGAGACTTTGATAACCAATATAATCGTGTTGCAATTGTTTAAACTGTGTCAAGTCCAGATCTGTTTCCATACTATTTACGAAGTCCAAGTGCTCTGTATATATAATTAACATGAATGTTATTGTGAACATCATGTATAATGGTGCATGAAAGAGTAGCCCAATCTTAAAAGAAGTGATTCGATTTTATCTTTTTTTTATCAATTTTTTTTTATCTTAATCAATTTTTTTGTCTTTATTTTAATCAAAAGATAAAAATTATTATTAATTATACAATATTTATTACACCTTAATATTATGAAAAAAATGTCAATATTAAAAAATGCATCATTTGAAAAATTACGCTAAATTTTGATATAAAACATAATAATATTAAAATAAAATAATATTAAATAATATTAAAATAATAATATTAAAATCTTATATGAAATATTACCGATGCAAGAAGATGAAATCAAATTTTGCAGCCGGCCGATGCGTACTTTTGTCTTATCACAATAGCCTTTCTTCAACATTGCAAAGAGGTCTAACATCTTTTTAAATTGTGGATCTCTAAACAAATTTTTGTTAAAATAAATTAATTCTTGCAATCTATTCATAAATGTAAACTTACCGCATGTGCTCTTCTCGTATCAAAAGACATACAGTGGGTCGACCAGAAAGACGCCAGTACTTGCCCACAAATTGCAATTCCGTTTTGATATCATCGATCAGTAGAGCCATGTCTCTGTACAAATAAAACTCAGAGACTTCGAAGATCAGAGGGTAACACAGTACTGTCATACCACAGACTCTGTACACCTATATATGAGAAAGAATTCGTCTGCTTTATTATTTTATATATTACATGATAAATATATATATATACACAAGCTTTCTATCTTTTTTTTAAGGAAAAAATATAAAATCTCACATACTTTGCTTGTACCTAAAGAACCTATAGGCCGCGCTGGTCGTCCCTGAAGATTCAACTTCTTGTTCACTCCTAATTTTTGATAAACCTTCACTAGCTGAGTGGATGACAGAATCTGAACGGGCTCGACTTCATGCGGCGTTTGTGTCTGAATGCCATAAGTAGCCATCATGGCTTGCAATCGCATAGATTCTGCGATCAGAACTATTTGTACTACTAAGTCGGTATGAGTGCCCTGGCATAAATATAACAGTTCATAAATTACATGCAGCATGAAGATATTTAATCATATAAATAAAAATAGCAGCCATTTTTTGAAATTTTAACTAGCGTATATATAATCGTGTAAATTCGTGATAAGTTTAAAAAGCCTATGAAGTAAATAATAAATTGCAAATGAAAAATACGTGTTAGATTTTCTACATTACATGCTAAGATTATAATACATTGCATAACTTCATAAATAAAATCATTAAAAGTAAAAAATAAATGCATGTTGTTACATACATTATACTATCATATTAGCAGGCATACACTTTATATTACTTACAATAGTAGGCTTTGCCTGTGTAAATAAAAAAAGAAAATATAAATAAATTATTAATTTTTATTATTATTTATTAATTTTTAATTATGAGTTACAAAAATTAATTAAATTTAAAACAATTAAATATCTTTCTAAATTATTGTGAGACAGTACACACAATTTATATTAAAAAGTTAACATAATGTATCGCTTAATTTTAGGACAAAGATCTAGTGAAATAAATTTATATATTTGGGTCTAGTAAGATAATATATATTTTGGGGTGATTTGATACGATTATTCAAATCAAGCAAAGTAATAGATTAATACATGTGTTTATTTAAAATATAGAATTTATATATTTGAAATATAATTTTTTTCTTTTTTACCTGGAAAGCAGAATATCTTCCTGCTCGCCTCGGACGATTATATGATGGAAGATATCGACGAACAGGATCTAATTCGTTGATGTGCAGAAGACCAGCAGTGAGCAGCTGCGCAATTACAAACATAGCTTGATTCCATAAATATATTGGCGTAACATCGTCCATAAATTTAGGACCTCTCCCTTCATCACTGGGAAGCCGATAAGCACTGCACGGCTCGTTCCTTTCAGTTTCCAAATTTTCCACAGGTACATAATAGCACATAGGAACGATTGGATCTATACCAGGCAAAACAAATTTTATTTATGTGACTCCTAATTATATGTATAATCGAAGATTTAAGACATTATTTGTGTTATAGGCATTACTTAAATAAACTAGAGATATTATTTAAATATTCAAGAACCTCCATTCAAATCCTTTTGTACTCTTGCTTTTAATAAATTTTGATATTCTTCCACTTGTTCCTGTAGACTCTTGAATACACCATCTATTATCATAAAGATGTAAAACAATGGCCATTCGCATTCGATATTGTCGAAATCCTGTTGAAACAAGTCAGTTACTGTATTACAAGTCATAGTTCTTATCTGATGACAAATGTTATAAATTTTAAGACCTTGATCTCTCCAGATTTGTAATATCGTCGCTGTTTATCCTCCAATACAGTTTTATAACCGTCTCTTCCGAAACGTTTAAAACCGTAATTACCTTTTAGCCTGCGGACAATGCTCGCTTTTGTTTCATTGTATAATACTTCTTCATGAGTTGCAAAGGCAGGAAAGGATATTGTTGGTAGCAAAGCCGCGTCTACACTCTAGAAATTACATATCTCTTATCAAAATTGTTCCGAATATTTTACACAATTGAGATTGCTTACTTTCGAACTGGATTCTCTTGGAAGCATTGTTTCGAAAATACTACGATTACGATTGTGAGCATCAATATCAACGTATATCACAGACCAAGATGCACCTTTTTCACCAAATAAATTACAGCCGTTAATTGCTTCTAATGCGCTCTTGGCGATTCCAATGGAGCTGGCGTGAATTTCAGGTGTTCCATCGTTATATCGACTTCCACGTTCCCACATACCGTAATCTGGTGTACGGTACGCTCTTTCGACATAATATACCAGATTTTGTACAAAGGCTACTTCATCTTGTGTATATATAATTTGTAGCCCAGAGGAAATCATTTGCACTAAGAATATTAAGTAAAGAGATACGATGTCTATCTATATTGAACAAAATAAATACTTGCAATAATTAAGAAGATATTTTCAATTGTTATACAATAATACTAAAAACATCGTACTAATTATGTCCTATTTTACTTTATTATAATATGTTTATAAATATAAATTATTATACATATTTCCTGTATCATAGAAATTATTAGAACTTCACAGAAATTTGTAATATTATTATTGCTTACTTGTAAATGATGGTAATCAATATCCTTGTAGATTTCATCGCCAGTATCCAAATGAAACTTGCAGTGTAAAGCATAACGGTCGCATTGATTTTTCTTAAAAAGTTCTATTCTGGAAGACTGTTTTATCCAACACTCCAAGATACCCCGCATGCATTTTATTGTGGACTGTCCCAGCTCATATGATTTTCCACGATCATCATCTATACGTCTATATGCTTGATACAAACTCCATATGGCAGCTGCGCAATATATACTTTCGCGTACACTGCCAACCTTCCGATCACTTGAAATCTGTGGGAATAAGCCAGTTATGCAGCTCTGATAGCGCAGTAATTGTCTCTTAACGATTCCATAATATATGTCCAATTGTTTAACAGTGTCCTCATAATTAGATATCTTGAGAAACATTTCAGCGTCAATATCTATCACACTGCCTTGTCGTATATTTCTGATCTGCGTAATTCTGCAACATAAGAAAAAATAAACTTTATTAAAAATCTTTTGCATCAACCATTTCTTTTAATATAACAAATCTCACAGACCTCTTCGTAGCATTCAACGGTGTTGAAGTAGCCATTTTATTCAAAATGTGTACAAGCTATTTTTGATTTAATACACCTACAAACAAGTTCTTATGTGTATATAGATATATTTCGAAATTTATTGCAGTACTACAAATCTATAGTTATGCTATAGATTCTCAGTATTATCAATTTGAGAATTCATTTTATTATCAACAGTTATATCTATGCATTCTATGTCATATCTCAATAAAATAATTAGAATATCATATTTCATGTGTAACACCTGAATAATCAACAGTTCATTCTTCTTGTCAAATTCAGCTTGATATCCTTCAATCCTTCAGTCCTTGAGTTCTCTTTTGATTAAAAACCGGTCTTTTTTATTGAAGCAAAAAATACATAACACGAGATGACCTTCGAGGGGTCGCAAAATCAGCTGTGATGCTGTGATCAGCTGATGTAGCCACATGCTAGGCTGCGTTCAGAAGCCGCTCAGATAGCATTTAGGTCCGATATACATTAAAGTCCCTCTAATCTAGATAAAGGAGATCATACGCACAAAAATTTTAGTCGTAATCATAAGGCATAAACAAATCGGCCAATCACAATCGAGCGTTTTAAAATGTGAAATCGCAATTTTAATTGTGATCGGCTTAAACACAGAACGCAAATTGCAAGCTTGTTGCATTAGTCAATTCAATGTATCAATTTTTAAAATGACGCTTCGAGATTGGCTTATAATTATACATTATACAGCATAGCTGGCGAAGACCCGGAAATTCCCCACTCCGTCAAATCGTGTGAAAATGCGTAGCATGCCGCGTGCGAAGTTTCGCTCAAAGTTGTGTCTCGTGGAGCCAACATTGTAATGAGCAATGTCACGATTAGACTATTATGACGAAGTAGAAATCGAAGATTTTGAGTACGACGAGGACGAGGAAGTTTATTACTATCCCTGTCCATGTGGTGATCAATTCCAAATATCTCTTTCCGACCTAGCCGCCGGCGAAGAAGAGGTTACATGTCCCTCGTGTTCCCTCGTGATCAAGGTGATTTATGATAAGGAGATTTTTCGTATTAAGCAAGAAGAGCTTGAAAGGAAAAACGATAAAAAAGAATTAGCAACTCAACAAGTTTAACATAAAATTTAAGGTAAAAAAGTTATTCCAAAAATTTTATGAGATAGGTTAGGATTGTGCTAGAAAAATATAATTTTACGCCAAAATAAACAAAAGTTTTATCTATGATCCATTGAAACTATGATCCACTGATTGCTTTAAAAGTTATAGAGACATGTCTATCCAGATGAGTGTTTATTTTTGTATCTTTATGTTTTTTTGTTATCTTTGATTTCTTTGTACTCAGTTAACAGAATGGTCCTAAATACGATTGATTACTTTCTTACTTTCATATCTTGGCAATTAAATTTTAATAATGTAAGTTTTAGTAATTTGGCTTTAAATTTTATTAATTTTTATCTGGTTATTAAAATTTTATATAACTTTTGATCATTTTCATTTTATTAATCCTTTTTACTTTCTTATTGTTAAAGGAAATTTTGATTTTGAAAAAAACATATATAACAAAACATATATTTGTAAAATTATTTAATTATTGAATATAAATTGTGATCTAATTTATGAATTTCTTTATATAATTTGCTTGGAAAATATTGCATGATTCTTAATTTTATAATATCTGAATAGTTTATTAAAACATTGTTTTATCAATTAATATATTATATCAGGAAACACGAGAAGCAATATCAAGAACAAAATGGCAGGACGCGGTAGAGGAAAATCTGCTATGTCCTTTTCTATGGAACAGTTGGGTATCTCTAAAGGAGAAACACTATCAACACCAGTTCTGCAACCATCTTTAAGTTATCCTCCATTGGATCATAAACCTCCACCTATTCAAATAACCAACGAAATGGAGTATCTAGTAGAATTGAAAAGGCATTTCACTGAATATATGCGAGAGTCACCATATTATGTGAAAGCTGCTATTATAAATGAAGATATTGAACGATACAGCGATGCTTTTAAAGAAGATTTCACAGACAATGATGAATCAAAATATGAGGCGTATCATGATTGGAGCTTAATGCCAGAGGAATTAAGAGCGTTGAAGAAACGAAAACCCTGGCAGCAGAAAGGAAATAAGAAGAAAAAAGACATGGATATTGTGAAAAAGTTATCAGAATTGGAGAAAAAAGAAAATATGCAACACCCTGCAGAAGAGGAAGATAAAGAAGGGAATGAAGAAGAGAATGATGAAGAAAAGGAAGATGGTGTAAAGGAAGAGGAAGAAGATGAAATGGATGATGGGACTGATTATGCAAATGAATACTTTGAGAATGGCGATAATTACTATAGTGAAGATGACAATAATGACGATCAATTTTTTGATGCATAAATACTTGTGTTTCAGAAAAATTTTTTTTTATATCTTGGCTCTTTTATATCTGTCAGACATTTTCACGCTTTAATCACAAATAGAATTGAAAAGGCATTTTACCGAGTATATGCGAATATAGATATGTCACCAAATTATGTGAAAGTTGTTATTGAAAATGAAAATATTAAACAATATAATAATGTTTTTAAAGACAATTTCACAGAAAATGATGAATCAAAAGATAAGTTAAGGGCGCCGAGAAACTGAAAACCCTTTTACTGCAAATTCACTTAAATTACGCAAAGATTTTTATTTTTTATAATTTTTCAGTTAATTTTAATATCAATGTTTGGAGAAAATCGATTAGCGCATAGATTAAACTGACAATGTGAAAAGATTGTGCACATATGTCACTACTAAACATAATATAGGTTGAATAAGCAACATTGATTTACTTTTTTTTTCTTAGAACAAATTCTCCATAACATCGTTTTTCTTGTTCTTCTATTATCTCTCTGGCTGTATTATATACCTCTCTCATATGCTTGTGGTGTGTTGATTATTGCCACGAGTATACGAAGTCTACAATTTTAATGCCGGTTCTGAACGACGGATTTTTCGAGAGGAATTTCTGTGAACAAAGATGCTCTCTAGAGGTTGCTGATCTTTTTCGAGAGAAGACATGAGTGTAAATATTTGATTGCTACCAAGATCGAATCTGGGACTTCTGGCATGATAGACCAGTGTATTGTCTGCCATGTCACTCTCATGCTCGTTAATGTCGATTTTTAATTTCAAATAACGATGGGATATAAATACGTTTAGTTTTTCTTTGCTGTCCTCTCGTTATTAATTGAGGGAAGGAAAGGATTCATCATAACATGTGGATATAATTTGAAGTAGAGGGCACATAGCGTAACAATTAAAATAGTCTAGAAATCACAGGAAGCGTCGGCGTGTTTTTTTATTACGAGTATTTCACAATTTCTAATATATAATATATTTATATAATATATATAGCCATAATAATCTGCAATTGTAATAAATGACCCTTTTCTATGATGCCATCGGATAGTACAAACGCAATTTTCTTGGGATGAGTGACTGGGAAAATGGAAGAGGAGGAAAGGGTAAAAATATAGAGGAATGATGTGTAGAATACCCAAAAATACCATAGCGTTTATAATGCTCGTTATGTATATACGTTAAGTTTTAGTGATTTCATCCCGTGTTTATATATGTATATATTTTTTTCCTTTATTTTTCTAATGAATTGCCGACACGAATTAAGCGCTTTAAAAATCCGTGTATTATAAGGATGAAACAAAAATTAAATCGCAGAGAGAAAAAGTTTTCCGAACTCCCGTAAAATTTCCAGTCACTGGATCATTCGTCGTCGTTCTAAGACCGAGTCCGTCATCAGAGGATATCTTAGGACTATTGAGAGATCCGAATTCTTTGAATAAATAATCCGGATAGAGAAAGAAATTGCGCGAAATTTTTCTTTCGTTTGACACGATGTGATGTAAATTTAGAGTGTGATGGCAGTAAATCGCAAAAATAATTCCATTCGTTACTACTTTTTTTTATCAAAAATTTGGAATTCTTCGACCGAGTCAAGTCATTTTAAGTTGCAAAGTTTAATAAAGCACTTGGGAGTTATCGCAAACGATTTGAACTTAATTATTTATATAACGAGCCGTATATCTTTCATGCGGAATTATGCGTGCAAAAAAATAGTACATCTTTTATATTTCGTGAATATTTAAACGATAGAAGATCAATAACAGTATCAGATCGATACTAATTGAACCAATTAAACTACAAGGTACGGTAATAAAAGTTCTTCACAAATAAGTTACATTACAAAATATAACATTTAACATACGATATGTATATGTATATTTGTATATACCTATACATGTATGTTTCATATACATGAGATTGTAAACAAGTGTGTATGTGTGTGTGTGTGTGTATGTGTATAAAGAAAGAATTAATAAAATTGTTATGAACAGTAAGATTGTTATGGATTATAATTTTGACATATCTACACTTTGCACTTTGATACTGAAGAGTGTGGTGCGAAAATATAATTCAGAAGAATCTTAATTCAAAGTTATATATAAAATAAGAGAGATATTTTTAATATTATAATAGGGATGACTGATAGAACTTAATTTTGTAAGCTTTAAAGCGCTTTTCACTTTCATTAGATTTGTTGAATTGTAAACAACTAAAATAATAAGTATCTGATTAAAATAATTGCACATTGTAATAAGACAAATTAAGTAAAAAAGCTAATTATCGGTTTATCCACTAATGTCTATTAATGATTCAATTGATGTATCGTTTGTGTATAAATCGTTCTTAATAAAACAGTTTAAGATAAAATCTCTCTTAGTGTGAAGGCGTGTAACAATCCCGAGTCCATAGTGTAAATATTCACTATGGACATATACACCATGCCCGAGTTATCGATTCTCACTAGGAAATTAATTCAGAATTATTTGCAGTTATCTAATTGTTACAATATTTCTTGTGATCACGTTTCTTAATTTCCTTTTCGTTGCATTATAAAATAGGTTATTATACTTATATTATGGGCGAGGCAGAAAATTAGGTGACAATTTGACGATCACGCACTCGGCAATGTCCGAAAGATATTAAATTCTCCGAAAATTAATTTCATAACGGAGTTATTGAGATGATGTTACTTGATTATATATTTGAAATGTATTTACATTTGAATTCTTCAGGTTTTTTGACCTCAGGTTTCTCTCTTCGCGCAATTCTACGACATGTCATTTCTGTATTTTTTCATTAATATCTATAACATTTATATTAGCAAAATCGATTCTTTTCGAAAATGATGTTCAATTAGATTCTTCGAACGTCTTATTTTTTCTTGAAACCTCTTTTCTAATACTTTCGCGTAATTAGAAGACAGCATACAATTAGCGTTATCCAGCACTCTAATTTGTCGCGATGAAAAAAAGCTGTCTTGCTAATCGATAAGAATTCATGTCTTCAGTAACGATTATCTTCCTACTTTCGTCAATGAAAACGAATGATAAAAACATAGAATATTTTAAGGAACTACGTACATTCCGCTTGGACAGCCTTTTCACAGCTTTCCTATCTACATTTTCATCACAATAATCAAATGTGCTCAGACTAGAATATGAAAAAGAGCAAAAAGCGCATCTTTGAAAACGATAATATACATCCACAGCATATGTAATTATAGCTATGAGCGCATGAATCTCGCAACACGCTCCGATGGCAACTTTCAGATACCAGAATTTCAAATTAAGTATCTTATCGCTCGCAAATTTAGAAAAAACGATACCTCACAATTTGATATTTTAAGAAGTGCTTACAAATAAATTTATCGAATCGATACGAATGGAGAACTATTAATGAAGATGTTAACGATGAAGTCGTTAAATGGATGTAATACTTGTTTTCGCTTTTGGTCGTTTTGGACAAATGGGAAACGTCGTTTCTCACGGATCGAATCGCAATCTAATTCATACAGCGTGACATTCTGAAAATCACAGGACAGGTCTGCTTCTGTATTCGGACGGGCAGTGTGAGCTTGCGAGATACTTCTTTAACATGTTTGAAAAAAAAGTCAGTTACAACAAGCCATATATACATAGTTTTCGCTTCAATAGCGTCGCTTGTGACAAATCGCTCGGATCTTGACTGTGAAAAAAAAAGAAACACCTATCTCGTTTAAGAAAAACATTTTAAATTAAACATATATACATTTAAGATCACGACGGCTCTAAGTCAGTTTATAAGAAAGAGAAATCTTAAATAACATGGAATAAAACAAGATAAAGTTAATTGACAAGTTTAAAAAACAAGATTAATTTAGTAATTGAAATTAAATAAAATATATAATAGAAACATTTATTTTCAATATTTTTGTGATAGTAAATTTATTAATATTTAGTAGAAATTTGTAGTGAAAGAACTTTTTGTCTCTGAATTGATTAAAACCTCTTATTGAACAGATCGTCATGAGCACAACTAACGATATGTATTCAACCCAAATACTAGACTGAATGCCAAGTAGATGCTCGCGATAAAGGGCGCAACAAGGCAATAATTGCATTGGAATTGCATCGGCAAATGAATTTGGGGCTGCAGTCAGCCCTTTCATCATCACTCGATGCTGCGAAGCTTTCCATGTCTGTGATATAACAGTTTGTGATGATAACTCCCTATCAAGGAAATTTTTAAATTTAAAAGCACGTCTAAAAGACGTCGTGACAACATCTGAAAATTGTCCTAATTTTTTTTATCTTTTTTTCATATATTTCAGACATCGTCCACTTTATGATGCAATTTTGAAAAAAAAAAATCGACATTTTGTTTATATATGCACCGTAGTGGGAGAATTATCTCGAGTTTTATGAATCGGAATCGCGCGACTTATTCTAGGTGTCATGCTCTTTTTTTGTTTTTTTTTTTTTTTTTTTCATCAATTTAGTATTTCGCTAACAATTCTTTTAACGTTGAATAAGAATACTTAATTCTGCGTTACAAACGCGACATCGAAAGCCGAAAGGCGAAGGTACAAAAAGGATCACATTGTCACTCAATAAAACGTCTCAATAATCCATCGCATTCCTATACGTTAAGTAAAAGATCATTCTCTGGATGAAAAATTAGGCCGACTTTTTACGCAATGGACTTTCAGCGGGAAGCGCTACTGTGCGATTCATGCAGATGTAATATGTTCCTCCAGTGGTCCTCAGATTTTTCTGTATTTTCCAAATAATTTCAGAATTATTGTGAGAGAAATTATTGTAAGAGAAATAAAATAAATATTAAAAGCAATAATTGTTTTGTAGACACTCTACAAAAGAAAAATTTTAATCACAAAAAGAAGATTTCAACAGTATATTTTTCTTAATATAACTAAAATATAATACAATTGTTATTTTTTGTAATTAAATAATAAAATAGATATAAGAAAATTAAAGTATATTGAAATTGATTATAATTCCTTTATATTGCATCGCAATATAAAATCTGGGAATCACTGATTAACTTGAAGCTTCTACAACAGCTAAATCTTTAGATGCGCTGGATGAAATTTGTTTATCTTTTCCCTACGATCAAGTCAACGATAATCCTTACATTCAAAATCGTTATGTCGAAATCACATTTAGGATCGAGCAACAGTAAGTCGAGATAATAATTCTCGTTTTCTTTCGTGTTGAATCCAGCCCGAATCCTTGTCTTATCTGTCAAATTTCTCGTCAAATTGTTTGCTCTGACTTTCGTTCCTCTCATATACTTAGTGTCTTGTGTGTATTATTTAGTATCATTATTATTAGCATTATTATCGTTACATATATGTTGCTTCACTAGGGTTGATTGGCTTTTGGACGTGGATCTGGATGGAGTGTGGTGTATATACCATGCGCGCGCGTGAAAGAGACAGAGAAAAGCTCCAACATTATCTTCTTTCTGTCTCGCGGCGTCTTCGAACGAGGACGAGCGAGTTTTCTCCGAATATTTATTGGAATATTCATTCATCCGACTGTAAATGATGAAAATGGAGTGTTTACAATAAAACATCAAATTTTTATGCTTAAATATATGATTAATAATTTATAATTAATAATTGGATCTCTCAATAAAATCTTGAATAAATACTTTCCATATTTCTTTTTTTTTCTTCTTTATTTTATATTTATAACAGTCTAATTTATTTAGTTATTCTTTAGTATTATACAGTGTTTTTAATAATAAAATAAGTCTTTTTGAAATTTATTGCAAATCTGAACGACGAACCTCGCTCGTCATCGATCTCCGAGTCTAGACCTTTTTTGCTGTCGTCATTGTTTTCTTCAAAAAGGAACGTATGAAAGAATATATATTTGCGTAAGAAATCAGACGGAATATATAGCATGCAGAGCGGATAGGTAGCGTCCATCAATCTTCCTTTTTTTTTGTCATTTTCTTCTCTTGATGAGCGTGATTTTGATTTGCTATCGATTTAAAAATTTGCATATTCTCGATAAATTTGATGTTTTTTTCAATCGAGTGTAATATCAAATCACATCGTTTTCACCGTTATTATTATCGCTATCCTCTATATATTTTTCTTCTTCTTCTTTCTTATCATCATCATTATCACATACACATAGCGACATTTCGTGTTTAATCGTGAAGATGTTCAATGCGCTATGTATGTACTCTGTGTGAAAAAACACTACGTCTCACTACAGTAATTCATTTCCTTTCATACGTGAAGACTAAATTGGGCCGTGAATTTTTTGAAACTACGCTTGTGACTCGCATCTCCTGACCATTTGCATCGCGATACATAATGAATAATCAAGTGAAAATTAATTGTTTCCGATTCTTATAATATTATATTAAAGATGTTCTAAGAAATATTTTTAATATAATATTATAGGACGAACATTATTAATAATTGTATAATTTCTTTATATCACTTGCAATCACTAAGCTTGTGACATAGTATCATTTTTATCTCAATTTTCTGAGAATTTAATAATATAAATCATTACTCTTTTTTAAAGTAAGCTTCTTGGGTTTTTTATTTCTTGAAATATAATTACTGTGTATCATTTGTCAAAAATATCAATACTTATCAGTTCTTAAATAATATATCGATGCTGTGCTTCCAAATAGAATTTAATTAGAAATAAATTTTCACGCGACGTAGAAATTATATCTAAAACCATATTTTGAAATCGATCGAGAAGAATTGTTTACTTCATAATATCTTTCAGTGAGGAAATTAACGAACTTGTCTATAAAATCACATGCGAAACGATCGAGATGCGGTTTAAAGGTGGAGTAAATTCTTTCGTGACGACAATACGTGCGTTAAGAGAGATCTCTTATTCGAAAGAAACTAGTTCATGATTTTGCCAAGGATTCCACAGATCCCTTCAATCTATATATAATTCTTATATAATTTCGATAAAGTATTTTGCATAAAAATAAACGACAAAAATAATATAATTAATTTCCAGAATTTTTTAAACTAATAAAATACATTAAAAATATAAACATAACAAAATACATTAAAATATAAATATAAATAAGAAAATAAATAAATATTTTACATATTTTAAATATATTAAATTTAAATAAATATGCAAAAATTAATAAATAATAATACTTAACAGTTCGATTTGAGAAATCCTCAGCGAGATGTCGAATTTCGTTTACAACCCGCGAGTGCGATAATATCCCATAATTGTATACATACGTGTATACGTATTAATAATTGTATATTCCGTATATAGACTTATATAAAACGCACGAAGCGATTATTCGAAGGCTACTCGTTTCAGATTTTATTTATTTATAGCGACAAGCCGTTTCTGTACCTGTCGGCTCGATACTTGGCTTCGAGTTTTATCAATGGAAAAAGAATTCGGACTTAACTACGTGGATCCCGCGTATACGGGATCATTTTAATATCCTATATAACGTTAATGTTTTTCATGTAAATGTATATTCGTCTAGACACCCTCTCTATGTCAATGGGCATGTCTATGTGTTGTATGTATGCGTATCATGTGTACAATGAATAAAAAAACATTTGCACGATCCAATTTTGTTGATATAATTTTGCACGAAGAAAAAACATATTACAAATGCTTTATTCCATATTTTAGTACAAATGAAAACATTAATAGAAACACTTTGCGAGAGAATATCTTTTCGCTTCATAAAAAATTATTCCAAGATAGAACGTACAAAGTTACTTTTTTTATTCATATGTATTTCATATAATTTTTGTTAATGTGTACCTCATATAATTGTATCTTGTTTTCACAATCTAATGAGATCTCGCAATAAGATCACTAATCAAAGAATGAAAAAAAAGACGCGAATATATTTTCCGTGTATATATTTGTGTATGTATGCGTGTATTGCATGTGTAATTGTTATGTATTTGTATATGCAAGCACGTGTAAGTGTTAGATGATTACGTTCTTCGAATCATTCGAAGTGTGAAACAAGACCGACGCGCAACCTGCACGCACCGTCATCGTATAAGCTTCTCACGTCAATCCTTCATCCTGACGTATCCTTGTCTAGAATTATTTCTCTTTTTTTTACTAACGATGCGACGACCGCAAATTCACGACGCTGTCCTACAGTCTGTCTTTTGTTCTGTCTTTTGAAGGAGAAAGAAGCTTTTTATTAATGAATCAGTAATTTAATTCGAGCTTCTGTGCCTTTTCAAGTTTGTGTCTGCATGAAAGCCTTAGAATCTGATCTTACTTAATCTGAAATGTGTAGCGTTATTTTGATCGTTTTGACCGTATGCTTGTTACGTAGTAGTCCTTAATAAACGAATAAATTGATTATAGACCGCAAATTTAACCTTCAAGAATAATATCGATTAGTCTCATCAGTTATCCGTTGTTCTTTCTATTTTTCTATAAAATTCTATTGACGATTGTTTCTTTTTTTCAGATAATTCCGATTTAAAATCGGCATGATTCTTCCAATCCTCAAAAGTCTTGAATATATTTTCAGAATATATTTTAATGTAAAAAAAAAAAAAGGATTTTATTCCCGAAGATCTTGAATTATCAAAGCGGCGTTTAATCGAGAAAATTCCTTTACGAGAATATCATCTCACTTCTTTTTCCCCTTTTCGCTCTCACGTGTATAACATATATTTTTCTGAGCAGCTAAAAGCTATGAAAGCACATGGACAGACCAATTGACGATAGGACATAGCAGAGTGGGATGATAATTTTCTTCCCAGGAGGGCTGTCTTGCCCTACCCTACTGTTCTTCGTCAAAGCGTCTTTTTCTTCTTTTGTCGTTCGAAGATCACTGCTTTTAATTCTCCGCGCCGTTGTTGCCCTTTCCCCAGAACTTGTCGAAGCGGTTTCGCGCCTTCTCTAAGACATCGGTTGCTGCTGATCGTTGTGCTGAGCCCGGTACCACTGTTGGTGCTTCCAGAACGTGGTAACCACCCGTAGTGCTACCTCCGATACTACTTCCTGTACCTGCAGTGCTGCTACTGCTACCGCCAGTACCTTGACCTGGCGACTCGGCTTCGAGAACGCGGTAACTCTGTAGTGCGGGCGACGTCGACGATGTCGTCGTCACCGGCGCTGTCGTGATCGCTACCGGTATACCGCCTTCCCTTTTACTTTCCATCTCGAATGTCGGATCTTCCAGACGTCTCAGGTTCGTGCCTATCACTGACTTTATCGATGATTCCGGGCTCTGTCGCTCTTTCGTCTCCTCGACAACATCGGTGATCTCCTAAAATTAAACGCAAAAAGAATTATCGTAAATTACTCTTTTTGTCGCTATGAAATGTAACAATCGCTTATGTATATGTACTATATTTAACATAAATAATATATAAATGAGATTATATTTTATATTAAATTAATTTGGATTGTAAATTATTAACTTTAGAATATTTAAAATATTTAGAATAAGATACAAAATATTGATACATTTTTACAATAAATTTTTTATTTATTTTTACTTATTTATTTTTTTATAATATATTATATGTTCTTTATGAAATATCAATGTCGATATTTTTAAACTTAGATAGTAAATAAATTTTTTTATATGATTCCATTCTAGTTGTTCTACATATAAAATTATTAAACTAAACTCATAAAAAAATCAATCAAAACTTTCGGAATATTGTTTTACTTTTTTCATATATTTTATAATAAAACATGAAATGTTTTGCAAAAATATTCATTTTTCAATTAGCTTATTTTTAATATTTTCGAACACATAATAATAAGATATAAACACATAACAATAAGGTAAAAAGAAAGCCCCTAATTATATTTAGAAAGTACTTGATTTATTCAATGTTATACATACATGCAAGCGAATCGAAAATACAGCGAAAGTATTCTGACCTTCTCATCCTTCGTAGGTGTGTCCTGCACGTTCGTGGGCAATGGACTGTCCCTCTCTGAGTCCAAATCCTTGTGGCCGTTTATGCCGCTAAAACTACCGAGCGAGACGCTTTCGCTCTCGGGTGATTTGTAGCCGGAGTGCTGGGAATGCTGTGATTTGTGTTGAGCCGCAAGCTCCGGTGGTGCTGATTGCGGTGCCGATGGTACTGAGGACGGTGCCCACGTCTTCGCCTCACTATGCGGACGCGTCAGAGGTTCTTCGAAAGAGCAATTAGAATTACGATCATGATAATATTATAGTATTATGTATGTCAAATCATAACACGCCACAAATTTATTTACATAAAATACATGGAAAGAATTTGTTAAAATATTTATTTAAAATTTAACTATAGATCTGAAAATAATTTGGACTACCAAAATAATTATGTAAGAAACTCAAGCATGATAATCAATGCTGAAAACAAAAATTTTTATATTCTACACACCAAGCGTCTATAATTACATTTATAATTTTGATAATCTGATCCAACAAAATTATTTTCAAATAGAATATTCTATGCATTTTTATAGAAAATTATGCATTAACAGTAATATATATATATATATATATATATGTATATACGTTTGTATTGTAGTCTTAAACCTGCTCTTTTTAACTGAACTATTTTTTTAACTTTTTGCAACGATGAAGAATCTTTACCTTTTGCAAAGATGAAGAAGTTCAGCTAAAAAACAGACCTCTTGTCTGTCTATAAATTTCTAAATAAAATATTCCATGTATATCGACTCTGTATATATTTCTATCGATTTAAATATTCTGAAAACACTGTATTATAAAAATGTTTTGAAAATATTTTGTGCATCTTTCCAATCATATCTTCCATCAAGAATTCTTACCTTCCCGGACATTTTGCGTCACGGTGAAAGTCTTGCCGGTGTCGAGGGGAACGGTCCAATTTACGGGTTCCGGTGAGCGCATGATCATCTGCTCCGGCGACTTTACTCTTGTTGGCTCCGGTGGGCTCTTCACCACCGGTTCGTCGTCTAGCCAGGGACTTGCTTGGGTGACAGGCGCTGGTCCCACTGTCTTTATCGTTTGCGACGGTGGCGTCGAAGCGACGCTCGAATCTCCGCCTGTGACATCCCCGTTTACTTGGGGTTCCGCCGTCACTGGAACGTTTGAAACGAAACGCTTTATCGTCGATGTAGATGATCGTTCTAGGTTTCTATTCCCTCCCCCCCCTATATTTCCCGAAGCTTGCACTCGATGATGAGACAAAAATTACCGTGATTAATTCATATACTCGATATATTTCGCCCCTTTCTTGCTAATTTATTACTTCTAATAAGTAGATCACCAAGAAATTACTTGTTTATCAAATAATAATATACGGCAATCAACGTTTGAGATTGCAATCATCGCGTTACGATTCAGTTCAAGTTTTGCAGTTTAATTTGAGAATTTGCGTACTACTGAAGGTTACAATTTGTTATACAGTTTGTTTGTATCTCTCATTATCGTCGCAGCGGCAAAGTTGTAGTTGTATTTGTCGGGCTGAATTCAATGTGTTTAGGATATTTACTTCTCTACAGAGAGAAAGAGAGAGAGAGAGAGAGAGAGAGAGAGAGAGAGAGAGAGAGAGAGAGAGAGAAAGAGAGAGAGAGTTGTTGCGGAGTGCTGTGGGAAATTAAACTGGATGATGTTACGAATGTGGGCTTGGTACGTCCAAAGCCAGGTATTAACACATTCAATCCGACGTGATTAATTGTGGATGACAAAAAAATAAACCTTTCGCTGCGACATCTCGCAATCACAATAGCTTAATCAAAATATCGAAAAATCTATTGAACATTTCATTTTTATTCATTTACTAAATTATAAGTTATAATATATTACACGCCATAAATATATTATTATTTTATAAGCTATTAATATATAATTAATTTTACTTAAACCGATATATTAATTGACTATCGTAAGTCTAGTAATTATGGACCAGCAGATGAGGTAGCAAAAGGATTAATGAAAAATACTTAAACTATCGTTTCTCCAGAGTATCGACAATCCTTTACAAGTGTCATTACGATAAATATTACTCAACATTGAAAGTGCTGATTATTCTACGCTGCTGCGACGAGATCTTTGTCCTCTCATCAATAGGAAATGTCTTGGATTTCTTAAAATACAATATTTTTACATATCGATACCTTTCAAAAGATTTTAATGCCGGCATCGAGTGCAGGCAAGATTCTCTCTCGAACGTGAATATAGAATACGGGCTTAATGTATATATATCTCAGAAGGTACATTGGCGTTCTCAGGATGCAATAAAAAGATACGCAACAATACATACAGCTACAGACATGAGGAGAGAGAAAGAGAAAAAAGGAGAAGCAAAAGGAAGGAAAGAGAAAAAGGGGAGAAAATGAGAGGGTATGTGAGTGAGTGAATGAGAGAAAGAGAGAAGCACAAAATGTGAATATGTATATATATTTACATATACATATATTTATATATACACATATACATATATTTATATATACACATGTATGTGCCAATGTGCAAGTGCGTGTATATCGCGCAACAGGTTGATAAAAGGGCTTAACGTACATACATATGATATTGTTTTCCCGATAAATCGCAGAAACGATCACTCGATTTTCCGCACTTAAACTACTTCATGCTTCATTATTTGTTTATATATCACTTGAGTTTTCGCAATAACACGAAGGAAACAAGGAATTGCACAATTTGCGCACAAAATGAACAGTTTTATTCTTTATCTTCGAAGAAATATATTTCTGATAAAGAGAGAAAAGGAAAGAGAAAGAAAGAGAAAAAGAGAGAGATCTTTCATAAAAACAATCTTATCAAAATTTTCTTATAAAATTATGTTTTTTCTTAATTTTTCTAGTTTCGCTTATTTAATAGTTTTACTCATGAAAGTTATTCACATTATTCCAACAAAGCGAAGAATGGAGATTGGTGAAGAATTCTTATTTTCTTATGTCAATATAAAAATATAGATTCCAATTCATACATAAAATACGTATTCTTATTTCGGAAATTTTAACAAATCTGTTATTAAAAATATTTAAAATGTTAGAATTTATTATAAATTGTTAAAAGTCAATGATTTGAGAATTATCAATTTCCTTAAGTTCTTTTTAAAATTATATTTTTGTCAATTTTACAATTATTCTA